ACACCTTTAACAAACACAGTACAATTATATGCTCTAAGTAAAATTAGTTAAGTGAATTTGCTTAAGACATTAATTTAATAGAGTCCCTATAAAATAGTGTTGTATAATACAAATATGTGTCCCTAAGGATATGTTATATTTATGTCTTGGCATGATTCTAAGTGACTTTTCACATTTTTGAATTTATATTTGATGTTTAGAAACCACCAAAAGTTAGACTCTGAAACAATATAATATGAAGAGTAATATCTTTGTATTATATTAAGAGTAATGGGATACCCCTTCTTGCCTTCAAATGGAGGCAAGACAGGCAAGACAAATTTTCTTGTGCAGCTCATATGTCCTTGATTGACTAGAAAACATAAATTTGCCCAAAAGCACACTAAAAATTTTAGTAACAGAAATAGAATGCGAATACTCAGGATTATATCCAGTTTCCATTACTTTACAAACTTACTGATTAACCTTTAATGTCTGGCAAGAACATCTTTTTTTTTTTTTTATAGAGGCATGTTTATTTATTTATTTATTTGTTTGTTTGATTGTTTGTTTTTGTTTATACATGCACTGGGTACAGTCAGAAGCATGGGAGGGTGAGAGAATTCACCAGAGCCAGAGCGGGGAGCAGAGCAGGCAGAAGGACCGAAGCACACTGCTGAGGGGAGCAGCGGGCGGCAGGAGAGGTCTGTGCGCCATGTGGGACCCTCCCCCGGTGGCCGGGGAGAAGCCGGGAATCGAACCGGCGCCGCGGAGGCCGCGGGCAGCCTCGCAACCCAGCGCTCAACCGCTGCGCCACCGGGGAGGCCCAAGAACATTTTTTATTCTCAAAATTTTAGATTGTTTAATTTTGTACATATCAGAATTATGAGGTGTTTTTTCTCATTTATCAATTCATTGTAATGAGAATATAAATTTCTATATGATCAATTCAGTTCAATTTTTACCTTTTGCATATTCTCTACCAAATTTAAAATGAAAATTTAAAAATAAGGTATAAATTTCAGAAAAATATACATGAAGGTAAAAATTGATGAATGCTTTTGGACATTAAACTGGTTCTCCAGTACTTCACTTTAGTCAAATTCATTGTACATTTTTCATTTATCCCTCATTTTAGTCAAATTCATTGTACATTTTTCATTTATCCTTCATTGTAAATATAGTGAAGTTCATCTCTTTGTAACTACAGTGAAAATCAACCTGTATTTAAAGCAGTGTTGCTAATGCTAGCAATACAAATAACTAGTTTGAGAAAAAAGAAATTATAACAACTGTCATTTGACAGAAAAACATACAATGGCATAAATGTATAAAGAAAGCAAAATATAGACATTCCTTTGTCATTGAGGAGCTTTATGGCTATTTAATTTACCTTCATTAAATTGCAAACAGGGACATATGTCCAACCTTAGGAAACTTAAGTTGTATTAATTATAAAGCTATTAAACTTGACTTGTCTTTGCTGTCTCAGTAGCAGAAAACAGGTCAGTTAGTTTAAATCTCTAGAGTACACATTATGAACTATTTAATACACAAGTTCCTATACTTGCTTATTCCTCAAAGTTCCAGGTAGAATGGACTGTAATAGTTATGTTGTATAGCTTTATATATGAAGATTGCAGTGCAAAATAATCCTTACAGATCTAACTTGAGCTTGACTCTTGGAATTATCAGATATGATTTCTGCTTCTGCTTTGTTCAGTGAAGACAGCTTGTTTCCACATTGAATTTTGATATCAAATGAAAATAGAGGCAAGATTACACCTTAAGCAGTCAGGATGAGCTAGGCAACCTTATGAAATAATTATATTTGCACCTCAAATTTATAAATTATAAGGAAGTGATTTGTCCAACATCACACAGCTATAAGCAGCAGAGTCCAGACACAAACTTAGCAGATGTGGATCTAAATCCCACACTCTGATTTGGGCACTACAGAGTTCTGTTTCTAAGCAATTATGAACAGGTGTTTTGTTAGATTTATGTCTTAACACATCCAGGTTTTAGGAATATATTTCAATTCTGTCATTTCTCTCATAAAATTGGAATAATTTGGGCTTTAATAGAAAGCTTCTCTAAAGACTATGCTTATTTTTAAAAATTAAATTGTTGAAAATGTATTCAAACTTTATAACTATGAAAAGTATCTCACCTTATGCATTTTCTTTTTTTTTAAATAAAGATTTATTTATTTATGTATATAGGAACTGGGGAACTCTGGAGGGGAACTCACCCTCCAGAGGTGAGGAGGGTGAGAGGATTCACCAGAGACAGTGTGGGGAACAGAATAGTCAGATTGACTGAAATACACTGCTGAGGGGAGCAGTGGGCGAGTCAGGAGAGGTCTGCTGTTCCATGTGGGTAGCTCCCTGACTGGGGATCAAATTCATGCTGCAGTGGTTGTGGATAGTTTAGTAGGTTACATCTTAACCCCTTGCGCCACCAGGGAGGCCCCCTTATGCATTTTTCAATTGCAAACCTCAGATAAGTATTAACAGAGTGATCTGAAGCATTTACAATCTATTCAAAGAAGTATTTTATCTAAAATAGTCTATTGCAAGGGCCTCCCTGGTAGTGCAAGGGGTTAACACTCAACCTGTGAAGCTATCTGTAGCCACTGCAGCAAAATTTAAATCCCCACTCAGGGTTCTAACCCACATGGCACAGCAGTCCTCTCCTGTCTTGTCCGCTGCTCCCTCAGCAGTGTATTTCACTACATCTGCTGTTGTGTTCTCCACTCTGTCTCTGTTGATTCCTCTCACTCCCCACACATCTGGCCTATACCCCAGTTCTTGTATGCATAAATAAATAAATCTTAAAAAAAAAAACAGTCTGTTGCAAACAAGTCCCTATTTAGAACATTCTCAAATGTGACCAGGGTGTATCTTTTCCTTATTTGTCTCTTTTTGGCATTTTCATTTTTAATTTTTTTTTTTAAGATTTATTTATATATACAATAACTGGGGTACAGGCCAGAGGTGCAGGAAGTGAGAGGATTCACCAGAGACAGAATGGAGAACAGAACAGGAAGATCCACTGAAATACACTGCTGAGGGGAGAACTGGGCGAGACAGGAGAAGTCTGCTGAGCCATGTGGGTTATCTCCCTAGCTGGGGATGGAACTTGTACTGCAGTGGCTATGGAGAGCTTCATAGCGCTGCATCTTAACTCTTTGCGCCACCAGGGGGCCCCCTTTTTGCATTTTTTAATTAAAAAATTAAAAGCTATGAAGTGCAGAACAGAAATACTTTATTATCCCTAATAAATGTTTCCTGAATTAAGACTGAAATTAATCACTGTATAAAGATGATTAGCTAATGATAGAATGACTCCTCCTAAAAGAATTGGCATGATTTTTGTTGTAGGTGGGATTTTCAGAGCATTTTTAATGAATTTAGAGAATTATTTAATCCCAGAAAGAATACTTCTCTGTATTCAAGAGGTCTGTGTTCTCTGTTTGGCTTCAGAAAATACCTAAACCTTTTTTTTTGTTTATTTGTTTCCTATCTGGCACCTCCTTTTTGGCATATCCTGTTGGCATTGCCCCTATTGAGACCTTCCTGGAAAGCAGATCTTTTTGTTGTGGTGCGGAAATGCTTTTGTCTGGCTTCTAGGTCATGCTTTAAACCCAGAACAAATGACAGAGCTAAACACAATATGTGAAAATGCCAGTCATTAAGCTCATGAGAGATTTTTTTTTTAAAAAAATGACTCAAAGTACTCGAGTTGTAAGTAGAACTATTTTACATTAAAGCCCAGTGATGTTGATTTTTGCCAAAACTTGGAAGAGCTGGGGAAAATACCAGGAAAAATAACTTTTATCAAAGACAAATTAGTTTTTGAAGCTGGTGTTAATTGGCAGCCAAGGTGTTTCATTATGAAGCTGAATTTTTAACAGTTGTTAACTTGGTTACTATGAAAACTTCAGCCAGAAGAAAACACTGCAGTGTAATGGGTATTTCTCCATTCTCTTCAGTCCCTCTTGCCAACACACGTCAATAATGTGAGTTTGGTTTAAAAACACCTATGTGCTGCCTAAAATTTGGCTGTGTTAATTGTTTATTCAAGCTTATTTCTGGATTAGGTGAATATTTCATAATAAACAGGTTCGTGGATTATCACTTTCAAACTGCAGCTGTTGTATTTTCTATTTTGCAATTCTCTGTTTGAATGAAACCTTAGGAAGAAGTTATTGAGAGCTGTTTTTTCTTTGTAACCTAGAGCATAAAGCAAACCACAGGAAATAGATAAATTGTAACCAGAGAGATGATTTTTTGGATGAAGCAATGAGAAATGTGGTGCTTTATCTCTATGTGTGAGTGTACCTACCGCTGATTGTTTTTAAGGAAAAACACCTAAGGGCCATAGGTAGTGAGGTCCAACTGCTTATTCTCCTCTCTTATAGTAAACAGCATGAAGACGGTTTCTCTCCACACATAACATATCCAAGGCCCCTGGGAGTGTGTATGCTTTGATATTTCCCCATTCTTATGTTTCACTAGCTGGCTTAGAAAAAAAATGGGTTTGCTCAGTGAGTCCTCACCCTATGGCAGCATTTTTTTTTTTTTTCCTGTCCTGTCTAGAGTCATCCTTTTAATCTCAAATGGTTTTATGGTGACATATAGAAAAAAAAAAAATTGGTGGTGATGTGAAAAAAAATTTTGGTTTAAATTACCTGTCAACAGTTCAGCTGCCAAATAATTTAATTATGATTATAGTCTTATTGAAGCCTTTTCTATTGATTCTAAGAAACAAGCACAGCTGTATTTGTTGTCCTTCAAAACAAAAGATTTTTGCCTTGCCTTGTAAAATTTCAGCTAGGGTTTTACAGAACAAAATAATGAATGCTTCTGCTGCAATATGTCACAGGGGAGGCTGGGGACAATACTGAACTCATGCACACCACTGATCCTTGCTTGCTAGGCAACATGTACACCTGGCTTTCTGACAGCTCTGTGGGTTCACCAGAGACCTCTGTCATTCTGTTCATCTTCCTGTAGGCCATGGTTGAGACAGTTAACAACCTCCTCCAGCCACAAGCCTTGAATGCATGGAGAGACCTGACTACAAGTGATCAACTTCGTGCAGCCACCATGTTGCTTGACACTGTGGAGGAGAGTGCTTTTGTGCTGGCTGATAACCTTTTGAAGACTGACATTGTCAGAGAGAACACAGACAATATCCGTAAGTGGCCTTTATTACAGAGAAGGCTCAGGGACCCTTGTACAGCAGAAAAGAGGGAAAAAAATTATCTATGATGGTCCAGATATTAGGAGTGATACTTTATATCTGTAGAGATGGTACTCTTTTTCCGTATTTAGGGAAATATAACTTCTCGTCTTAAGGGATCTTCATAATCTTGCATGTTATCTATCTTAGGACATTCAATATTGGGTATATTAGCCTAGACCATTTACATTGAGGTCCGTTTATTTTTTTCAGTTCTTATGTATGAATGTATATATGTATATATTGTACTACATAGAATTTTATCCTCTTAATACAGGGCTTATTGTTCATTTTGGATAATTAGAGGGTCTTTGAATTAAATACTATAAGATAAATACCAGTCATTTACTTGACTGTGATAATACACTTTTTGGTAATTATGTCATTGGCTCATAAAGAGTATAAATCTATTATCATTGGGTATATAAGGATATATCTGATCATTTAATTTTAGAAGATTTGATAAAGCTGCCTCAAATTCTAGATTTAAAGATAGATCAATATTGATATAATAATATAGCTCTTGGATTAAAAGATTGCTTAATTCATAACATAAAGATAATATTTGAAAATAAACTTGAAATCAATAACAATATACAAGGATTTAAGCTTAAATTTTAACTTGTAGACTTTATAATTGATACATTTGCATTTTTATTTCAATTGGTTTAATATGCTTTATCTTGAAAAATTAAAATACTAAAGAATACTTTCTAGATACAAAATTAAACTACTATAAAGCATTACAAATATAACAATTTTCGTGTTTTGATTTCAGAACTATTTCAGTCATTTAATGCATTGTCTTAGTGCTAGAATTTTTCTCAATGAGCATTATTATCTCTTTGCTCTTAACAGAATTGGAAGTTGCAAGACTGAGTACAGAAGGAAACTTAGAAGACCTAAAATTTCCGGAAAACATGGTTCATGGAAGCACTATCCAACTTTCTGCAAATACTTTAAAACAAAATGGCCGAAATGGTAGGTTAGAGTTCATTTGTTAAGTGTGATGTAATTGAACTTTTCTTTAGCTCCCTGCTTCTTGGCTTGGAGTTTTAGATCCTTAATCCAAGAGTTCTTCATATCTCTCCTCTTCTCTTTTTCCTCTTCTCTTCCTTCTGTTTTTTTTGACTCCTGAACCAACAATATTTAATGACATTTATTTTACAAAATTCTCAATCAGATTTAAAAATTGTTCTGCTACTTTTCAGTTGCAGTGAAATGTCAGTAACTTGAATAGGAAGAAAATTAATGAACTCTAAAACCTAAATGAAATGTATTTTTCTTTGAAAGAAGTAACTCCAAGTTGACAGAAACTTTACTTTTCATTTAAACTGTTTTTTTTTTTTCTTTACTGTACTTTCATGGTATGTTTCTATGCTTTGCAAAGCACCAAGAAAATTTAAATATGAGGAAATATTATTGGGAAATGGAACAGATAAATATATGTCAGCTAAGGACTAATTTAAAATCATTGAATATAATTAAAATTAAATGAATGAAAACATTCATAGGAAAAGTGTATTTTAAGCTTCACTATTCAACTTGAAGTACACATATGTGTGTGCTTATGCATATGTACACATACACACACGCATTTTGCCAAGGAAATGAGCTAATTTAACCAGTTAGGTGATAGGAAAATGACCTTAGGTTGTAGTAACCAACTCTAAGCTAGTGTTTTGTGGGGTGCATAGTTTAGAAAAAAAAAAAAAGAGCCTGAGAGCTCACTATATAATACCCCCCCAAAAAAAACTGTTTGCTGTCAATTTTTCCTTACAAGGAAAAATTCCTTGTAAGTTTTAGAAATCTTGTAAAACTGAACTTGCAAATCATTATGTTGCTAATTAGACTATCTGAATTTTGAGGAATAAGCTAATGTAGAACAAAACCAGATTCCTGCTTTTGCTTCCTAATTGATTTCCCTCCTTCCACTATAACCTCCCCTCCAACAGTAAAACCTGTTGATAAAAGAATTCTTCCTGAAACGTTAATCTTACCAGTTGCCTTCAGTTACACTTTGAATGAAATCAAATCAGATTGACTTAACGAGGTCAAGCAGTGCTACCTGCCTCACTTCCTTCCTGCCTCATCTGCCTGAATCACCTCTCTTTAACCTTTCAGTGATTCAGTTTAGTCGTTTGTTGACATATAACATTGTATTAGTTTCAAGTGTATTGAATAATTACTTTATATGTGTATATGCTGTGACTGCATCAGCCATAATCAATCTAATATCCATTCACTGTCCATAATTATATTTTTTCTTTGTGATGAAGATTCATAAGATCTACTCATTTAGCAACTTTCAAAATATATAATACAGTATTATTAAATGTAGTCATCATGTTACACAATTGTATTTCTAGGACATGTTTGTTTTACAACTGAACGTCTATAACTTTTTACTACCTTCACTCATTTGCTCATCCTTAACAACCTACCCCCTCAATAGCAATGTGTTTTCTATATCTATTTCAGTTTCTTTCATTTTGTTTTAGATTCCTCATTTAAGAAAGATCATATGGTATGTTTCTTTCTCTCTCTGACATTTTTTCATTTAGTACCATGCCCTCAAGTTCCATCCACATTTTAATATATATAATTGTAAAGGTCAGGAAGACCACAGGGCAGGTTTTCTAAGATCCTGCAGACCGGGTAAAGAAGGAGTCAGAGTCCTCAGTGGTTTTTGCAGGTCTTATATTGGGGTTCACCAGGCATATGGCAGGCAGGGGTGCTGGGGGTCCGGGAGGCTGACAGGCCTCCCAGCCCCCAGCAGGTCTTCACTCTGGGCTCTCCGGCTTTCTCTCAGCTTCTGCTTCTCTTGCTTTTCTCTCGCTTCTCTTTTGGCTTCTGCTGCTGGTGTCCCCATGACGCTGACCTTAAAAGCCCAGTCTTAGCCCAGGTGAATCCCATCTACCTGGGCCCACACCCTACTCCAGGTGCCTGCCATCAGGCATGCATTCAGAACTGCAAGTATCCATCATCTATCCTGATGGCGGGAGCGCAGAAAAACCTGACATTTTTCCTTACCCTACAGTCCACCCCCTCAGGGTTTTCTGCCATATAATGTACATATATACAATTTTCTTAGCAAACATAAATAATGCAGCCATCGCCCACAAAAACAAATACATCACAATATAACAAAATACAACATAACACAAGTAAGCCCAGGCAGGGCCCCGACCTAGTAACAAAAGACAATTATTGGTACCAGCAGATCAGCCACCAAATCTGCTGCCGAAGGCACTGCTCATACGAGGGAGGGGAATCACTCACGGCATCTACTGTAACACACCAGGAGCCATCAGGCTTCCTGGCCTTTTCTGGTTGTCGTCTCGGCTACAAGCCACACACCGCATCCACCCCCAGGATGCACTAGCTCTGGGATTGGTGATTCTATTCTGTTGGGGGTAATCGCCAACCCTCAGGGTTGCTGTCTGCAGTCGCTCCAACATTCGGCTGTCATAGCCACCAATGCGACTCGCAGACCCCTGCACTCAGGCCAACCCACTGCACAAGCACATGGGTCAGGGATCCAAACTCTACATTCAGCTTGGGCTCCACCCAAGCCACGTTCCCCACCCGTCCCCCAAGGACAGGTTCCTCAGCTCCTCACCCTCACTCGACAACGAGCAGGGCATCACCCACAGGTGATTTTATGAGACTCACTGCCCTTCCTCAGCTTACTTAGTGCTTAACAGCCACTCAGGGCTTCCCAAACTTAGCATCAGTACCAGCTTTTGCCTTCTCAGTTGTCTTTTTTCCTCTGCTTAGCTACTGGGCATATGCAGGGTGCTTTTGGCCATCAAGGCCCACTGGCCACCCCCAGATTCTCAAAATATATAACCTGCCGAGATCCTCCACCTTCTGGCGGGATTGTCAGTCCAAGTCCGTCAGTCCAAGTCCATTAGGCCTCTCCCTGCCATCAGCACTGATGAGCTCTGAAGCATGGTCCTCTCTTCAAAGATTCTTGCTGCCTCAGGGGTTGTTGGCTGGTCCTCTCAGGCGTCTCCTTCACGCAAGGTCTCGTCCTGTAGCTCCTGGACCTTGTCCATCTCCTCTACCACCATGACACCTCCAGCGTCGTCACAGGCAAACAGTCTGTTACTCCTTAGTCCCTCCAGGTCTTTGGAGGGCTCCAATACCCGTCTGCATGGATCATCTTGCCGACTTACGCCAATTGTAAAGGTCAGGAAGACCACAGGGCAGGTTTTCTAAGATCCAGCAGACCGGGTAAAGAAGGAGTCAAAGTCCTCGGTGGATTTTGCAGGTCTTTTATTGGGGTTCACCAAGCATATGGCAGGTAGGGGTGCTGGGGGGCCGGGAGGTTGGCAGGCTTCCCAGCCGCCAGCAGGTCTTCACTCTGGGCTCTCGGGCCTTCTCTCAGCTTCTGCTTCTCTTGCTTCTCTCTCGGCTTCTCTTTTGGCTTCTGCTGGTGTCCCTGTGATGCCAACCTCCCAGTCTCAGCCCAGGTGAATCCCATCTACCTGGGCCCACACCCTACTCCAGGTGCCCACCATCAGGCATGCATTCAGGACCGCAAGGATCCATCATCTATCCTGATGGCGGGAGGGCAGAAAAGCCTGACATTTTTCCTTACCCTACAATAATATATTAAATATTAATATATATAATATATTATAATATATTAAATATTAATGTATTGTAATATATATTATAAATGTCAAGATTTCCTTCTTTTTATGGCTAAATAATATTACACTTTAATGTATACAAGTTTCTATATCCATTCATCCATCATGGATGTTTAGTTTGCTTCCATGCCTTGGCTCTTACAAATAGTGTTTCACTAGACATGGGAGTGCATTTATCTTTTTGCGTCAGTGTTTTTATGCTATCAGATATATATACTGTATTATGTGGTAGTTCTAGTGTAATTTTTTTGTAGAATCTCCATATTGTTTCCTGCAATTTGCACCAATTTGCATTCCCACAAATAATATACAGGGGTTTCCTGATTTAGTCTTGATCCAGTTCCTGGAACACACTAAAAATATTCCTGCATGAAACATAATTTATTTTATTACTGAAATTCAATTTTTACAGTTCTTTGCAATTAAGCTTCTCTATTATTTCTGCTCTGTATAAATCTTAACATCTTTAGGAAGGTTTTCCCTGTCACACACCATCCATTCTCAATTACTCTTTTTTCCACTAGTCACTTTATGCCATTGCTTCTTCATAGCGTTTATTCATTCTCCATTGTGAAAATTCATATTATTATTTTTAAATTGCCTATTTATTGTAGTGGGTAAGCTTCATTGGAGGAGGGACGTGTTCTAACTTGTTCATTTATGTAACCCTAGTGCGAGGCACATAGAGGCACTCATTCAGGTTTTATCAAATAAATGCATAAACTTTCAGATCCAAAGGTAATGGAGATTGAAATATGTCTATATTAGTCATATTATGCTTTATTTTACTCATTTTTCTCATAGTTCTCATTTATTTTATTTGCCAAATTAATGTATAGTGTATAATCATCTTAAACTGCAGATAAGGATTAATTTCCAAGTGTATTATCTAAGCAATTTTATGCAACTGAACACACTAGTCCAACAAATTGGGATGGAACATGACATCATCCGAAAATTAGAAATTGGCATGACTTATTAGACAATTATAAACCATATAAATTGTTACTGTTAACCAGAAAAATATATAATGTTCTTAAGTTTAACTTCCAAAAAATCAGCATTTTTATATTAAATCCAGAGGGAAAGCACAAAAATCAAATGCCATATTGTAATAGTCAAGAAGCATTTAGTATTATGATACTTTCCCAGCCTAATTTGCAAAGAGGTTGCTCTGGGCACCTCTGCAAAAAGCATCCAATCATATGCACTAGCCTTGACCTTCAGCAGGGACTGAGGCAGAGCCTTCACTTGTGCTTCAGTCAGTACTGTGATGACAGCTGTGGATCAGAAGTTTAAGAATGCCCATTTTCTGTACGTATATCTCATCATAATCTCTTTGCTGAATTACTTAAAGGATAGTAGATATCTTCTATATTAACTAAGACTGAAGAATCAGGTCCAGAAAACATTTAAAAGCAAGAAGGCTAACAGCAGCCTGTGCCATGACATAGAATCATTGGTGAGATGTCACTGCATTCAAAAATGAAGTACAAGTGGGGCTCCCTGGTGGCACAAGGGGTTAAGCATAGCACTGTGAAGCTATCTGCACCCAACCAGCTGGCCAGGGAGCTACGCACATATGCAGCAGACCTCTCCTGTCTCACCCGTTGCTTCCCTCAGCAGTGTATTTCAGTTGGTCTTCCTGTTCTGTTCCCCACTCTGTCTCTGGTGAATCCTCTCACTTCCCCTCCCCGCCCCCCGCAGACCTCTGTCTTATAGCCCAGTTCTTGTGTGCATAAATAAATAAATCTTAAAAAAAAAATGAAGCAGAAGTGAAGTCTCTGCCTCAGCCCCTAATGAAGGTCAAGGCTCATGTACCTGATTGGATACCTCTTTGCAAATTAGGCAGGGAAAGCAAGCATATTTCCATTTTGTGTCAACAAATCTCTGGGCATCGGGAATTTCCCAAACATTTTTTAAAGATTTATTTATGCATACAACAGCTGGGGTGTAGGCCAGAGGTGCAGGGAGCAGGGGATGGTAAGAGGATTCACCAGAGACAGAGTGGGGAGGAGAGCAGGCAAATCTACTGAAATGCATTGCTGAGGGGCACAGTGGGTAAGTCAGGAGAGGTCTGCTGTGCCACCTGGCCAGGGATGGAACTCATGTTGCAGTGGCTGCCTATAGCTTGATAGCACTGAGACTTAACACCTGTGCCACCAGGGAGGCCCCCCAAACAATTCAGATGTTGAAGAGCCCCCACCCTTTAAAAAATTAAATTCCTTTGTCTTTGTTCACACTTGACTGTGCAATTCAGGGGCAGGTACTGTGACTTCCTCATCTTAGTAATAATAGTAGTCAGGTCAGATTTTGTCTCTTGGTGAACTGCTATGAATTTATTTTAAGTTATTTTTAGAAAGTAGTACTTAACTTATTTTTAGAAAGGAAATGATATGATTAAAAAACGTGTTAGAATAAGTTAATTTTAGAGAGGATCACATGTGTGAGATTGTTGTAAGGATAAAAGTATATTAGGAGGATGTATGGAAATAGTGATCTTAAGAGTATGATACTTGAGTTTTAAGACAGGTAAAGATTTTGAATGCTTTTTTAAATTTGTTTGGTTTGTAAGTTACAACTGAGATGCTATTTACATACAATAAAATGCATATGCCTCAGTGTTTAGCTTTATAAATTTCACACTTGCACCTACCTCTGTATATCACATAAAATAAGATATGAATCTTTCCTATTACCTACAAAATTCTCTGGTGTTTTCATTCCAGTCTTTTCACTACTCTCCCTACCTGATGAAATTAGTTTGAAACTAGTTACTATTTTTATAGACAAATTTTGTCTATTGCTAGACTTTATATAACTGGTACCATATGCATGTGCTCTCTTTTCTCTCTGTTCTTTAACTCAGCATAATATTTTGAGGATTAAATCATGATGTTCTATCACCAGTGGTTTGTTCTTTATCAATGCATAGTATATTCCACTCTATTGTTATGACATAATTCATTTCTTCTCCCATTGATATATTTTTGAGTCATTTCCAGTCCTGAGCTATTATGAATAAAGATACTATAAACATTCTTAAACAAGGTTTTGTATTGTGTGTACATATGTTTCCCTTAGGTAGGAAACTAGACTATGTGTTTAATTTTATAGGAAATTGCCAACCATTTTTCCAAATAGCTGAACCATTTTTACCATCCATCAGCATTCTGCAAGAGATCCAGTTATTTCATATTATCAACATTCATATTGTCAGTCTTTTCAATTTCAGAGATTCTAACAAGTATGAAATAATGTTTAAATGTAATTTAGTTTTTTAATTCTTGAACTGATAATGATGTTAATCATTTTTCATGCCTCCTGACCTTTCATATATTCTTTTTCTAAAGCATGTGTTTATGTCTTTTGTCATTTAGTATTATTTATTATTTCATTGTTGATGAGTAGAAATCATTTATGCCTATACATTATAGCATATATATAATATATTCCTAGTCTGTGGTTTTCATATTCATTTTCTCTATGTTGTATTTTGATAGATATCAATTCTCTATTTTGACAAAGTTCAGTTTGCTTTTTTAATTATATGTTTTATAGTTACTACCAACAGCATCTTTGCCTTCCTCAAGAACAAAGATACTATTCTGTATTTTATTCTAGAAGTGTTATGATCCTAGTTTTATGTCTCAGTCTTAATTCATAGTGAATTAAGCGTTTTGTGTATGGAGTAGGATATAGATTGGGGTTCATTATTTTAATACCAGTATGTAATTGTTTCAGCATCATTTGACTTTAAACCCTCATGAATCACCTGACACTTTGTTTGAAATGAATGCTTCATTTTTGTTGTGAGTATATTTTATAAAGAATTGATTGTAATCTGATTAGAGTATCTGATTTAATGGTAGTGTACACTCTAATTGGAGGTTTTTTGGTACTTATAGTTCACATTTCCATTTATTTTAGGAGAGATCAGAGTGGCTTTTGTCCTGTATAACAACTTGGGTCCTTATTTGTCCACGGAGAATGCCAGCATGAAGTTGGGCACAGAGGCCATGTCCACCAACCATTCCGTTATTGTCAACTCCCCTGTTATAACAGCAGCAATAAACAAAGAATTCAGTAATAAGGTTTATTTGGCTGATCCTGTGGTGTTCACTGTTAAACATATCAAGGTAAGAAAATGGCATGTAATTTGTCCTGTATAGCTAGCTTTTATAACATGAACATATTAATTCTCTTTCTATCCCCTGCTATTTGACATATAGAAATTCATTATTTATAGAATAATAGTTTTTATTTTTCCTGAAATGAGAGTGGAGAATAATTCTTGTATATGTAAATACATATGGTAAAAACACTCATAAATGGGTTTACAAATACTTCTAATAATTAAAAAGAGCTAGTAATATGTTCAGTAGAACTCAAAATGGCTTCACATATATTACAAGTAATTATATCTGTGTATGGATATATACGAAAAAATAAAAATTAACAATTTTAAAGAATATCCTTTCAGATGTTGATTTTATACAACAATTGACTTTACATAGCAATGTAAATTAATTGATGTAATTCTGAGACATGGATCCTTATATTCCTTCAATATTATTTTTTAAGTGACCTCACCTCTAATTGGGAGAATAAACAACAATATATATATATTCAAATTTGCTTAGAATTGACGATGTCCATCTAATATGAAAACACTCATGGATAGCTCCACAAAGACAAGAACATGAAGTTGCGTTAGATATAAAGAAAATGCCTACCTAATTTACATGGACATAAAGTAGTTATTGGCTTTATTGATTTCTTTTCCATGTAGCAATCTGAGGAGAATTTCAACCCTAACTGTTCCTTTTGGAGCTACTCCAAGCGCACAATGACAGGTTATTGGTCAACACAAGGCTGTCGGCTCTTAACAACAAATAAAACACATACTACATGCTCGTGTAACCACCTAACCAACTTTGCGGTATTGATGGCACATGTGGAAGTTAAGGTAAGATATATGCCATCAAACAAAAGTACCTAAGGGTATTCTGTAGGCCAGTCTCACTTCAAAGTTTTTCTAATTTCATAGAAATTCAGAAGTTCTCTTCTGTTCAGCCCATATTCTCCTGGATGATTAAAGAACTTTTTATCTTCTTTTTTTTTTTCTTTTATCACTAGAAGTTTGTTTATAAAATAATCTTGCTGAAAAACTTCCCCAATCTCTCTGCTTTTGTATGAATATACTTCAGACCATAACTTTATGAACAGGGCAAGATAGGACCCCAGGACCAAAGGTAGGTGCAGAGGGGTTAGGATTGGATTAAATACTCTCAAACTTCTGGGAAGGCATCTGTTAAGCACAATACCCAAAGCTTGATAATACGAAGGACTTGGTATATTACAACATAACATAATGGTTTCTGTCCATTCAGCAAGAAATTATTCTAAGAAAGAATTCAGAAGAAAGGAAATTTCCAAAGTCAGAAACACAGCTAACTTGACTATATCAGTGTCTTCGCAGTATGACTCTCTGTCAAAAGGATTTAGATTTTAGATATACTTAGGACATAAAGATACAAAGAGCTATTAACTTGGTTATAGAGATTGGCAACAAGCGCTTACATACTTTTGAATTCTTTTTTCTCTAATATCAATAAAAATAGAAAAACTATTAATGTTCAACTCATTTTAAGAAGTAAAAGCTTTGACAAAGGTTTATGTACCTGATGTTGCTTAATGATTACATGCCAGATTTTTTTTTTTTTTTGAGGCTTTTGAATTTAGAGATGGCACAGGTATCCCAGAGGGAGACCAAATCCAAGTCCAATTAGCACCTTACCTTAAAAGTAAAATGCCTTAGCTATATCAGCAGAGTTAATAATACTGGACATACAGACAAATGTCAGATTTAGACCAAGAATGTGTTAGTGTATCTCTGGGATTCTATGTTTCAGCTTAGAGAATAAACTCAGAAAGGATCACATTTGAAGCAATAGCAAAATCAGTTTTTGTTCAGTTCATTGCGTAACAGCCTCTACCTATCCATTATATCAGAGAGTGAGTCCTGATTGTGGCCATTATTGTGTATCAATAAAACATAAAATAAATGGAAATCACTATTTTCTTTTTGTAGTTAGTCACGCCATATGTATATACTGTAGCATAATCTCTTGTGATTGCATAAATCAGTCCCATTTTGATCTTATAACATGATTTTGGCACTTAGAAAACATAAAATAAGCACACTGGTCATCAAAGTCCAAAAGAAACATACTCTAACCAAAATTACATTAGACTTAAAGAGAATGCCAGTTTAATCATGCACAATGAGAAGTACAGCAACCAGTTAAAATAGATACATAAGTTTGTTAGTTGTTACAATTTAACTCTGCAGGAAACTCTATTAAGGAAACATAGCTGAGTAATCTTGAGAGCAATGCTGTTAAACTATGGGGTCTTAAACACGTGTCTCAATTCCGGGACTTTACCTGTACACTGGGTTGCCCTTTTCTGTATTCTATTTTCTCTACTGTTTATTCAGCATTTCCTTCTTCTGCCAGCTATTTTTGAACACCTAAGTAAAGGTAGGGATATATTACCTGCTATACATTCAACTCTCAAAAATTACGACTTCTTCCTTCCCATATGCTATACAATTTCTTCCTTCCCACTGCTCAACTAGAGTTAAGCAATCTATTAATTAGTAGAGTTGAGCAATCTACTAAGCTTCTGGACCTCAAAGAACTCACATTTTTGAAAGGGAAGAAAAGGCAAAGAAGTGACACTGCAGTCATAGTTTTGATAATCGTTATATTTCAAGTCTACGTTCTGATTTTCAGACACAGAGAAGGATTATGTATCTGAGAGAACTGAGCAAGACAGGATTTATAGTTCTGGATGAGTAGATATATTTAGTAGGGCAACTGGGAGAGAATTTACTTTAACCACATTCTTGAAATATGTTCTTCTCTTCTCTCCCCTTTTTTTCTTCCCTCCTCAGTAGCTGTTACTTCCTAGCATCCTTTGCTGATTCCTCCTCATCGCCAAGATTTCTGTTTGTTGCTTTGACCCAGAGTGTACTACTTACATTCTCTCTCCATATAGTTCTTTTTTTTTTTTTTAAGATTTATTTATACAAGCACTGGGTACAGTCAGAAGCGCTGGAAGGTGAGAGAATTCACCAGAGCCAGAGTGGAGAGCAGAGCAGGCAGACTGACAAAGTACACTGCTGAGGGGAGCAGTGAGCGGCGGCAGGAGAGGTCTGCACGCCATGTGGGACACTCCCCCGGTGGCAGCCCAGCACTCAACTGCTACGCCACCGAGGAGACCCTGATCACATATTTCTTAACATCAGCTCATGAGTCCCAGATTTCTACCTTTCTGTCTTAACTCCAGGCACATGGATTTAACTGCAGACTTGATATAGTCACTTAGGTTTCTGATGAGTATACCAAATCTAGAACTGCAATTTTGTTATCCTTCTGAGTCTTTTCCTTCTTAGTGACTAGTCTGTCCGTCAGTCTCTGGACCTGAGCTGTGCCCCTTGCTGATTTGTATCTTTTCACCCATGCCACACACCCAATGCTGAGTATATCTGGCCAGAATCAGCATCAGCTTCAGCTCCTTTGTCACTGCCACCTAGATTCAAGCCTCTATTATCTCTCCTCTCTTTTCTTCTTATAATCCTTTACTTCGTTTCATTTCTCCCTTCTTTGTCCCCCTTAAATTTATTCTCAGCGTAATTGCCAGAAGGATACTTTTAAAATGTGAGTCAGATGGTCACTCCTCTGATTCATTCTCAAAACAGCAGTTCTGTAATCCTTTAAAAATGCAAATCAGATACTTCAAATCTTTGATCCAATCTGAATGACTCCTTATCTCTGTAAAGGTAAAAATCCCTAATCCTCCCCAAAAACCCTTTAGCATCTCTTGGCCTCCCTTCTCACTGTTTTTTCCCTTGCTCACTTGGCTTTAATCTTACTGGCCTTCTTACCTTTCCAGAAATACTTCAAGTGTGCTATAGTTGGACTACATGTCTCCCTTCTGTAAACACTCCCAGATAGCAGCAAGGTCAGCTTCCTTGTCTCCTTCCAATGTTTGTTCCAGTGTTACTTTCTCAATGAGGTTTTCCTGCTCACCTTATTTAAACTTTTAGATTACTCCACTCCATAAATGCTATGGCAAATAAAACAAAACAGGTCTCTAGCATAAGGAAATTTAAAGTTTATCAGGTGAAAAAGTTAAAAATTTGAATGGGCCAGTGAGAGAGACTTTATAGCTATGTCAGTTAAGGCAGATAAATGTAGATCACAGCACTATTGGTTAACTGCTGAGTTATTTTTACTTGTTACATAAAGAAATACTTGATTATCTTTCTTAGCACAAAAATAATTACTACAGAAATTTAAGTTATGTCATTTTATACTAAATTTATGGTATTTCACAAATTTTCCTTTTTAAGAGCATCTCTTACAGGATTATTATCTGATGTTCATCAGAATGTTTAATAAAATGAATTCAAATGTTTATGTCTTTTTCTTACCATTTTCTTTGTGAACACCCTTTGTGGAGGGAGTATTTTAGTTTACAGAAGTATATGTTTCAAATTAATTGACTAATTAACATTTCTACTATAGTTTTTTAGCACACTCTAAGAAATGATTTAGAGAAAGAGTCTGACAGCTTATATCACCTATAGCTTTTCCTTTACTCAAATTATAATTATTTGGGACAAACAGTTTTGAAATTGCTTCAAGCCTTAGCATGAGATAAAGCCGGGCTTTGTAGTTTTGCATTGTATTTTTTCACTTAACTGTATGTCATTCAGTATTAATAACATTTTTCCTTGTATTGCTTTCATTTCTGCGGTGTAGCAGAATTTTTAAGCAGAGGGAAACCTGCTTTCTGCTTAGGCTCCTCTCATATGCAGCTTGAATCTCACCCTTGCAATTTTTAGGTTCATTTTCAGTAGATAAAGTTGGCTAAAAATAGCCTCTAAAGGTGCACCTTCAATTCTACCCAGAAATATTTAATAAGAAATAGATCATCAAGTTTAGAGAAATCTCAGAAAGTAAAGATTTGGTGGTGACTTCAACTGTCAGAAGGATCCAGCATTTCCAGTAGTAATAGGAATGAATATCATTTATTTATTGTCTCCATATATTATCTCATTTAATTCCCAATACCAAAATAGCTATTGATATCATAATTTACTTTTCTAATTTATAATATGAAAAGAAATCAGAATAACAATTAAAAATCAGGAGATTCAGATTTTGATTCTAGTTATTAAAAGAAACAATTGCCTCTTGTTACTTCAGCAAATCATCTGAGCTCCCTGTTTCCATTATTAATTGGTGAGATGACACTATTGAATTCTTTTTTCTAAATTATCTCGGGATTATTTTTGGGGCTGAATAACAAAATTTATTAAAATGCTGAAAATTGTAAAATTTTTGGAAATTTTTTTTTGTTTCCCTATTTGCTTAAAACCCTTTAAATCATTGATCCTAGGTCCAAATATTAAGCTGAGTGTCTTTAAAAAATAATTTTATCTATCTCTATGCAGAGATAACTTAGGCCGCACCTTCACCTTATTTTTCAGTATAACTGTTTCATAATATAATTACCAAACAGTAGATTATCCACAAATTAATACAATTGTATATACCTTCCCAGCCCTTCAAAATGTGGTTATGTGGATATTGTGAATCCCCACACTATTAGCTACAACAAATTTAATGTTATGAACAGTCATAAGTCAATAGTAAGTAATCAGAAATTTTTCATTGATTGGTTTTCTTCTTCATTAGTAAGATAATTTCTAGCATTGATTAACTGCAGGGATTATTATTTTTATTGTATTAAATATAAGTCTTAGAATCCTTTAGCATATTAATGTTCTAAAAACATCCTCAATTGCTTATACTGCTCTTAGTAAGAACTAGTTGATTTGTTTATAACTAAGTGCACTTTATTTATTCCAGATCACAAATGTTTACCTTTTAT